TGGTAAACAGAAGGTGTGAGCCCATGAAAGTGAAATCCAGAGGCAATATTTAGTTTACTACTTTGATTTATTGTAGAGGAGGAGTTCCAGTCAGTTAAGATTTTACCTCTGGGAGTGGATTATAGCTGCACGTACAATAGATAAGTACTCAGAAAAGGTGATGGTACTGGACCATCATCCTATTTCAAATCTAGTATTATATAAGAAACTACTGTTTACACACTGACCTGTATGCTAAGCATTTTATTTATATCCTTTTAATTTTCTGCACAATCTAGTGAGGTTGATACTACTGTTCCCATTTAGCAGTACAGGAGACTGAAGTTTGGAGACTGAAGTTTAGAGGTTGAGTGACTGGCCCAAGGTCCCAGAACTGGGCATGCAAAAAGTCTGTTTTTAAATGTAACTGTAGAATTTATATCTCCTCTTTTGTGGTTGTTGTATTCCCCCTAATGAAGCAGTATTTTCATTCATTAAGAGCCCAGGGAAAGATAATGGAAGAAAAGAAAACATGCCTCTTATTCTTGAAGTGAATGCTCTCATCTTCCTATGACCTTCACCTTTTGGATTCATAGACGTATTGTATGATATATTACAAGTAAGTAACACAAATGAAGGATAGAAAGTTTAGTCTGGAGTAGCATTATGTTTCATGATATAATAAAATCTTATTTATCCGAAAAATATTTACATAATATTTCTAACCATCTCTATTTTAACAAAAAATAAAATAAAATAAAAAAGGTTTCCAGGAAGCATTTATTCATAAAGGAGCCTCTCAGGCTCTCAGATCCCATTTGCTCCTATTTCAGACCATTCTGACAGGCACTGGGGTTCCTCACCTGTGCCAGTGATGAGCAGGAATAAATCTAGGGACATTTCAGACAGCTCTCTTATGGACAGGAAGGCTGACTTTTGGTGTAAAGCTCTTAGTGGTAAAGAAAAAGCAAACTTAAAAGCAGACAATTTTAAGAATTCTTTTGGAATCCTTGTCTTTTAAAGGTAGATTATGCTAGATATACTCTAACAAGACATTCCCATTTACAAAAGAAAGAGAAAATTATTCGGGATAAATACATGAAGCATTATCATACCCAAACTATTGGATATAATATGTTCTTATCTTTGAACTTTTGCAAAGAACTCTTTTTAAAAAAGTTGAGTTATTGTTGAAGTTCACAGTGTTGCCTGTTAGTGCTGCAGATGACTCAGAAATGTGCCTGTGTGACTGGGCAGAAGAACCCCTGTGCCTCGGCCGCCGCGGGGCTCTGCGGCCAGCGCAGGGCTGATTCCCCGCCTCGGCCTGTGGAGATTGCTCAGTGCATCCTATAAATTATTTACACCCTGATGGTACTAAACGACTACATTAATGGCACCTCTGGCTCCACATGATACCAAGAACGTTAATAATTCATCCTTTATTACAGATACATCCCTGTAGATTAGCATGAGTGGGAGCTGAGTTTATAACACTGAGATAAAGGCCTTCTTTGAGACCTTTACTCTTAAAACATTGTGTCCATAAATAGTCAGATATTCGTGGTGTTAAAAAATAAAGGAAAGATTATTGACTGTTTCAGAGCTTTAGACTCTTTAGGTGATGTTGATCAAGCGTGAAGTTACTTAAGTTTTTAAGTACATTTTAGGGATGTGTCATGGGGAGAATCTTTGAAAGACAATTCTCTGCTTCTGGACTCTGGCTTTAAATAACAGGCGAACTAGCATTAGCTTATGCAGAGTAAATGGGATTAATGACTGGCCACTGGGAAGAACAGTGAGAGGCTTTAACTTTTAAAATTACCCAAATTCTTAATCTAAGAGTTTTGCATCTGATATTTAAAGTCTTCAAAACAGTCTTCTTCAGCTTTTTGGGAGTACTTTTTATTTTTAGAGAGATGGGAAGGGAGGGAGAAAGAAAGGGAGAGAAACATCGATATGAGAGAGGAACATCAATCAGTTGCTTCATGCACAAACCCCAACCAGGGATGGAACTGGCAACCCAGGCATGTGCCCTGACCATGAATCAAGCGGGTGACCTTGTACTTTGCCAGAGGACTCTCAACCAACTGAGCCACACCCATCAGGGCTTGGGAGTGCTAAAAGAAAGTTAATCTATGCATTTCCAGTGAAGGGAAAGAGTGGAGTTGATGTTGAATTTATGTTTACAGTTTTGGAATGATTCCACTTCCTAGTACTATAAATGTAGCCTTTGAAAAAGTCATAAAAGTTACTAACGTCAGTGTCTGTAACCCTAGCATCAGCACAGTACCTTGCACGTGGTTCAGTAAATGTGCGTATAGCTGATGTTCAGATCAATCTATATAATTCTAGTTAGACACTTTGTGTTTTGGTAAGTTAAACAACTACACCAATTTATACTAGTTGCCTTCAATGATAGTACTACTTTGGGAGCGTATTCCAGTTTACTGTTAGTGTTTTTCAATTCATTCAATGTGTGTTTGTTGCAGAAGAGCCCAGAGAGCCTCATTGTGAGGCCTATATTCTTAAGACAACATTGCCTTGTAGAGAGGCTCCAAAGCATTTCTAGTATCCTTTGGGTTCCACTGAAACACCTTAGAGGTTCTTGAAAGATAGTGAGAAAATCGCTCTTTCCCACAGTAGAGACACTGGGCCATTTTTTACTGATACTAAATTCAGTGGTTTATACCATGCTGAGTTTACCAAGTTCATACAAAGTTGAGTTTAATTTGATTGCTTTCTATTTCTGTAATAATGGTTTTCTTTAAAACTGATGATCTGGTCATCATTGGCATTCATGAGAGAACTATAAGGGATGAGTATAGTCAAGAGTTATATGGCCAGGGAGGTTAGGGTAGGGTTTGGAAACGTATTAGAAGCACTGTTATTAAAATGAAAGCCCTTAATCTGTAAAAGAAAAAAAAACTAAATTTCAGCAAGCATGAGGTATAGAGTTAAATCATAGTATGCTAGTTTGCCATGCAAACGATATTAGTTCTCTATTTGCCGGACCAGCCACCTTGGAGGAGAACGTGGAATATCCAACTTAAATCAGAACAGCTGTATTTCTTCTTCAGTTGAAACACCACAGCAAAGACCATATTTTTCCATGCATAAGGCACTCCGTGTATAATGCGCACCCATGGTTTCGTGTGCCTTATACATGGGATTATTATACCCATGGTATGTAATCATTATACCCATGTATAATGCATATCTTTATGTTTCCCTCAAAAATTGGGGCAAGAAACTGCGCATTATACATGGGAATTTTTTGCTCAAATACAGTAAACATTCTTTTCAGTTGTATGAAATTCTGTGTGTGTTGTTTAGTAGCAAATGTGAATTGGTATAAAGTTTCTGAATGTAAGATTTTTATATAGAGTGAATTCATATATTTTATATTTCCCAACACCTCTCTATTCATGAGTGTCCCTGAGCTGCTACCTGGTGCCAGATATCTTAGAATAAAGGTTTTAGAACTGTTGTGGAAAAGTGGTGGTTTGATTCAGTCTTAGTTATGTTATAGTGTAAGTTAAGCTCTTAAATGAACGTGGCTGTATTTTATAGATAGACATGGATCTAGCTGAGAACAAATGGTTCTGTGATAGAGACATCGTTCAAACCTGCACGCCTCTGTCAGCTGCCTGTGGTGGCACAGCAGGATACAGCGATCTGTAATGTTTCCTTAATGTGCCCCTACTACTAGCCATATTGCAATGCATAATACGTCTCTTGGGCAGACAGCTTGTGTGGGCTGGATTCCACCTCAGGCTTGTAAAGATGCCCGGAAGCATCAAGGTGAACTTTTCTTAAAGCCTATTTAAATATTTAGGCTAACGGCTAGTTTTAGTGAAATCTCTGCTCTATTTAATAAACTTTTTGTTAGAAGTGAGAGGCAATTTCAAGTTTATGGCTTCCTCATTTATTAGCTGTGGGACCTTGGGTTGACAAATTATTATCCTCTGCCCATTATTGTATCAGGAAAGTAGGATTGTAAGAGTATTTGCCTCATAAGCTGGCTGTGTGGATTTAGGCAGTTCACATGTTTAACGTGTATGGAAGAGCGGCATTGAATGTTAGCTCCCACCACCAGCACCACCATCATCAACATTATTTGAAGTAAGATGATTTTCCCTTAAGGTAGATTGTCCTTTTTTTTTTTCTTTTTCTTTTTTAAATGAAGACCGTATCTCTATCGAGGATGTAGTCAACAGTGGTTCTAATACAGAAGCTCATTGTCTTGACTTGTGAAATCTACAAGTTTGTCTTCAGCTAAAATGTAATCATACTGTTATATATCATACTATATATTATGTAAAGTGTATGTTACTTTAACAAGGACACGTTTAGCCCTGACTGGCATGGATCAGTTGCTTAGGGTGTTGTTCCACAAAGCTAAAGGTCACTGGTTCAATTCCCAGTCACGACATGTGCCTGGGTTGCAGGTTTGGTTCCCAGTTTGGGCCCATATGAGAGACAACCAATCAGTGTTTCTCACCTCAGTGTTTTTCACCTTCTCTTTCTCCCTCCTTTCCCCTTTCTCTAACAATAAATAAGTAAAATCTTAAAAAAATACATATTTATATTATATTACTTTAAAATATATAAAGTATAGTACATTATGACAAAGCATAATATCACTAAAATGGATGAAGGTGCTCTGAAATGATCTACAAGATATATTGCTGAGTGAAAAAAGCAAGGGTGAAATAATGTGTAACTTACATAAAAATTTGCTGGTACATGCATAAAAGCCTGACAGTCTACACAAGAAGGGGCCTATTTTCATTTGTTGCTGTGGAAAAGGGAAATTGTATGGCTGGAGTCAGGGGGGAAGACTTTTTACTGTATATCCTTTTATAGTTTTAAAATTATTGAATCATGTGAATATTTCTTAGTTGTTAAAAAAAAACTGAAAATGAAAAAGTAAAATCGCTGTTTTGAAATCTAGGTAAATTTTTTTTTAAAGTCTGTTTTCCAAAACTAAACTAAGAATGCTCTTTTGTGTCCTCCATTAGAGATCTGAGTCATAATCGGTTGTCTAACTGGAACATCAGCTTGGAATCTCAGACATTACAAGAAGTGTAAGTTATTTTACTTACTTAAATTCACATTAAATTCAAGGCGATTTAGTGACTATTAATTTGAGGACATTTAATTTAAATTAAAAGACATTCTTTAAAAACTTAAACTATCATCTTTGGCTTTATTATCACAAACCCTGCGCGTTGTACCATTGGGTTGGTGATTGTAAGTTGCAAACTATAGAAATACCCTTTTTGGGGGGCTGAAAGTAAGATTTTTTTCCTTTCTTGAGAGGAAATATGTTTTGTTTGTTTTTTGCCGGTTTAAGCCAACGAAACTCTCTGTTGTATAAACTTTTTTTAAATGTCTTATCTAAAATAGAAGCATCATGTTTATAGTAGATTTGTAAGAAATACAGTACTTTTGGTATCATTTGGAATATGGTATTTAATCTAATTCAGTTTTCTACTTTACTGAAGTTTTTCCTTTAATACTGAGATACATTATTCTTTGGAGGAAATTTTCTCAAATACAGGGTGGGGCAACAGTAGGTTTACAGTTGTGAGCAAGTGAAACACGGAGTTCATTCTTATATTATTATTTATAATTATTGTATTATTTTCTATACAAACAGCTGTAAATCTGCTGTTGCCCCACCCTGCTTTAGTGCTGTCAGTTACTGCTTTGCGACATTCCCAGAGGGAAAGCTGTTCAGCCTGTTGAGCCTTTCCCCTAACTGCCCTCTGAACCCTCGGATGTAGTTTTCTTTCTAGATTCCTGCTGACAAGGTAACCCGCTGTTCCTGCATTCTGCCCTTCCCTGCCCCTCACTGACGTCCTCCCATCTGCTGTGGAGTCGGGAGACAGTTGATAGGCTTATTAGCTGAAAGAGCAGGCGCTGAGGAAAGGTGTGAAAATGCTTTCGATGGGGGAAGTGCATGAGCTTTTCTATTACATGGACTTTGTAACTTCTTTTGGTTCCTTGGGGCCTTTTACTTAGGTTTTTTTCTGTATTTTAAATTGTTGAGGTTGTTTGTTGATTGAAAAGCAGGTTAATGAAATGTGATTATATTAGATTTGCTACTAAAACGTTTGAGACAATCTGTTTTAAAGAGCTGCTGGGATCAGACGGTGACATGCTATGTGATCTGTAAAATTTAGTCATAGCCTCCATCTCTGGGTTGGTAAATTTCATCTGTGCTCTCAAGCAATCCTCTCTCACTTGGACTGACTTTAAAACATATGTATTTTTTCATGTGTGTGTGTTCTTAAAATTTGTTTAATTTATAATTCCTTTATAAATATATAGAAGAGATATGGATGAGTTAATCATTCTTTGTTTAAGAAGGACGCAAGTTAGGTGTCATAAATGTAACTACTCAGAGAACATTAGTGGCATTAAAAGTATTTAATGTGCACAGTATTTCCTAACCTTTTAAATATCGAGATCAATCATAGGTCTCTACCATGAAAAAGCATTTCTTAGTAAAACCTCTAATTTGTCAGTATGATATACATAGTCTAACTCAGTCTGAGTCATAGACCTTTCTTCAAATGTGGTACCTGTCCTAAATAATACATGTTAGCTAGTAAACCAAACTCAAGAGGTAACATTTCTCTCACTAAATTTTGAAATCTTATTTTCCTCCTGTGCCTAGGAAAATGAATTATAATGAGCTAACAGAAATCCCGTATTTTGGAGAACCAACCTCTAACATTACTGTACTGTCATTGTAAGTAAATAAGATTTCAGATCTTTCACTTAAATTATAAAGAGTACATCATTTTTTGGTTTGTTTGTTTTAGGCACCCTTATTGTTGATCCCAATTATTTAACATTTTTGTGACCTGGAGCAGATCACTGGCAGTAGCTTCAATATAATCTTTGTTTTGTAGGGTCCATAATACAATTGCAGAAATAAATGCAGAGGTGTTCCAGTTTTATCCTGCTCTCGAGAGTTTAGATCTCAGCTCAAATATAATATCAGAAATCAAGACATCTTCATTTCCTCGAATGCAGCTTAAATACCTGTAAGTTAAATAGTTTAAACTAGGTTTACTTAAAGTGCATGTTTATTATTTATTGACACTTCTCAGAAATATCTGTTGTGATTTTGATATGCTTATGTGAAACAAACCTGTGGTCAGTTTTTTGGGGTTTTGGGTTTGTTGGTTTTTTTCTCTCCTCTTAAAGAAAGAATGGACTATTATCAGAAAATATTGTTATGTATCCAGGGTAATTTTTGAGATTTAATTCTGGATTGTGTTTTACTAACAGTTTTGTAAAAAGTAGATAGGAATTGGTTTGTTGAACAGTGGCTCAGCCTGTGCTAATAATTAGCATGTGTTAGTGTTTTACAGTTTACAAGTATATTCACATGTAGTGTTTCAGCCCAAATGATGTAGGTTTTACCCTTATTTTGTAGTTGAGGAAACAAAGCAGTGAAATGATTTGTGAGGTTGGCGCACGGTTGCGAGTGGTGGAGCCCCGTTGTCAGCCACGGCCTTTGGGCAGCTTTCCTGTAGTGGAGTTTTTGTCCCACTAATTTTTTGTCGTTATCTTATTCATTTTAGGAATTTGAGTAATAATAGGATAACCATCTTGGAGGCAGGTTGCTTTGATAATTTATCAAGTTCCTTATTAGTGGTCAAGTTAAACCGAAATAGAATTAGCATGATTCCACCCAAGATCTTCAAACTACCTCACCTCCAATTCTTGTGAGTAACTCAGTAGATAGATTTTTTTTTTTAGTGTCTTTTCCTTTTTAATTATTAGAGAATATTAACAAACTTATTTTTTCTGACTGTAAAACTATTTTTGTTAAAGGGAACTTAAAAGAAACAGGATTAAAGTTGTGGAAGGTCTAACATTTCAAGGGCTGGACTCCTTAAAATCTTTGAAAATGCAGCGGAATGGAATTAGCAGACTTAAAGATGGAGCTTTCTTTGGCTTGGATAACATGGAAGAGTTGTAAGTACTGTGGACTAGAGTAGGAGCTTGCTAGGAAAGGGGTCTGACTGGGACGTTTTAGTGCCAAACAGCTAAAACAGTTGTTCATTATAAATGTGCCAAGGCACATTAGTCCTTTTCCCTTCTCTGATGTGGAGTAAGTGTACACAAAGCTCTTTAAGTTTTTTTTTTTTATCTAACTGGCATTTTTGTCATCATTCTTAGAAACATTTCATCTAAATAGTTTATGTTCTCTTAATGTTTTGGTTGATATAAATTATCAGAATTTATCCAGAACAAATATACTATAGCTCTTGGTGTCTTGACTTTGTAGATCTGATTATTTTATTTTATTTTATTATTTTTTTTGCCTTTTTAAAATTGTTGTTCAATTACAGTTGTCCCCATTTTCCCCCATTACTCTCTCCTGCCCTACCCACCTCCTACCCCCACATTCATTCCTCCCCCCGTGTTGTCTTTGTCCATGAGTCCTTTATACATGTGCCTTGACTTGATCCTTCCCCTTCTTTCTCTCGTTATCCTGCTCCCCTTTCTCCTTAGATCTGATATTTTAGACAGTTTTACTACTTTCTAGCACTAAGTAAGATAAATATTCATTGAACAGAACTTGTTGGCTCACTTGGATTGAACAAAGGTATATGTTTCTCAGAGTCAGACCTAATGGAGATGTTTTTGAGTCTTCTCATTGCACTGCTACTTTTTTTAAAGATTTCATTTACTTATTTATTTTCAGGGAGAGGGGAAGGGAGGGAGAAAGAGAGGGAGAGAAACATCAGTGTGTGAGAGAAGCATCAATTGGCTGCCTCTTGCATGCCCCCAACTAGGGAACTGGCCCACAACCCAGGCATGTGCCCTGACCGGGAATTGAACTAGGGACCTTTTGGGTTTGCTTAACCCCCTAAGCCACACCAGTCAGGACTCCTTGCACTGCTGCTTGTGAAACATATTTTCTTTTTTTTTTCCCCCACTAATTCTGCAGAGAACTGGAACATAACAACCTTACAGAGGTGAACAAGGGATGGTTGTATGGCTTGCGAATGTTACAGCAGCTCTCTGTGAGCCAGAACGCTGTGGAAAGGATCAGCCCTGATGCATGGGAGTTCTGCCAAAGGCTGTCTGAGCTGTAAGTGCTGGGTGGCAGTTCAGTGGGGGCTCTGAGGCTAGAGCAGTTTGGAATAGATCACTGCCATGGCCAGCAGTAGACTCTGACATTCCTCTTTATAAGAAACTTGTTGAAAGCTCTAAATTTATCATGTAAATAGAATAAGGATATGAAAATTGAACTAAAATACAGTGAATTCCTTTCCTTTCGTGTTTTCTGTCTTCAGTGATTTGTCCTATAACCAGTTGACCCGCCTGGATGAATCTGCCTTTGTGGGTCTGAGCTTACTGGAGAGATTGAATTTAGGGGACAACAGAGTCACTCACGTTGCTGACGGTGTATTTCGGTTTCTTTCCAATCTTCAGATACTGTAAGTACATCTGTCTTACTTTTTTTTTTTTTCTATTTTTTAAATTTTTATTTATTTTTAGAGAGGGGAAAGGAGGGAGAAAGTGGGAGAGAAACATCAATGTGTGGTTGCCTCTCGAGTGCCCCCTACTAGGGACCTGGCCCGCAACCCACATATGTGCCCTGACTGGGAATCAAATCAGCAACCCTTTGGTTCGCAGTCCAGTGCTCAATCCACTGAGTCACACCCACCAGGGCCTTTGCAATTTTTTTTTTTTTTAAACAGTAAAGCAAATAAAACACTAATCAATCTACAGATTTTTATATATTAATATTTTGTGGTTCTTTTTGTCCTGTGCCTCAGTGCAAGACAGTCTGTTTCCCTATATCTAAATCTTATTTATCTCTTGCTAGTTCTGTTTGTATTTTAATTCTGAATTAAACAACTAAACAACAGAGCATCTTTAATGGTAGGTACTGTGGAATAAAACGCAGTTGCTAGTTTCAGGAATGCACATTTTCTTGTTCCTCTAACCTTGAACTACCAGCAGTGTACCAGAACTACCACTTCTTATTTGAAAGGATATAGGATGTGTAGCTTTGTCAGGAGACCCGTTCACTGTTACTGATTTGCTGCATGACTTTGGACAGAAAAAACTAACATTAATAATGATCTGGCATGTGCCGACTGCTTTCAGAATACTAGGATATTATTGCTCTTTACCACATCAGGAGACCGAGGGTTAGAGAGATTAGAATGATTTGTTTAAAGTCACATAGCTTATAAAGGTTTGGGCCAGAATTATATCCAAAGTCTCTTTGATATTAAAGCTCATCTGCTTTTACCATGCTGCCAGACGAATAAAATCACTTAACCTTTCCTGGGTATCACTATATTTGTGTCTTCATCCAAAGAAATTAGACATGGGATTAGATGGTTGCTGAAGGCAATTTAAACACTAAAATTTGGTGGTTCTGTAAGTTGAGTGTTACGACGAGCATGGTATATAATTGAATGAAGAGATAGTTTAATGAAATGCAGTAATCGCAAACATAGAGCAAAACAAGAGAAAATGTTAATCAGTATAATTTGTAGAGTCTTAAATTTCCTGCATTAGGGGCCTTGTTGCCCATAGGGTTCAGGGTTGATAAATGATCTCAGAAAAGAGGCAGGCTCCCAAAGTTTGGGCCTTAACCAACAATGAGAAAGAAAGCATGATAATTTTCTAATGGTGGTGCATGTGTGGATGGATGAGTGTGTGTGTGTGATTTTTTTTTTTTTTTTAACTTAATGAGGTAGCCTTCCTTCAGATATGACCTGGAAAAATTAAAAGTGACCACCCCCCCCGCCCCCGTCCCAACTTCCCCCTTTTCTATATTATCAGAGGTGAAACTGTATTTATCAGGTTCAGGTTGCCTTTGGCAATGAAGAGATAGCAAACAGGTTCTTTCAGTATATTACTGATTATTATTTGTAATATTAAAGTTCAAGAAAGTAACTGCAGAAGTACAGGATTGTATAATGCCACAGAGATAGAGTTAAGGCAGAATGAAGATCGGACCTGAGAAATTTCTGCTTGCCAGAGTAGATACAATCCTTACCATTTTGGCAAGTGAATTTTCTTTATGCCGTGCTGGGGGCGGGGGGGGGGGGGCAAGTCCTGAAGAGCCATGTTATTCCTTAGTAAAATAAAATGGGCCTTGTTAGCTTTCACCTCAGGTAAAGGTACAGCAGAGTAAAAAGAGTGATCTCCTGTCTCCTTAGTGTTATTCAAATAACTTTACCTACGTGTCTGTCTTATAGAGCATAAAGCTTTGTGCTTTATTATAAGATGATTCAAGGAAGCAAAAGTGATTGTCTTCAACGGGTATTTCTTCCATCAGGCCACAGCGTGGCACAATTGCATTTCCTCTGAGAATTGAGCAGTGGATTTTAAAAGATCCATACTTCTCCTTTTAAAGATAACAGCAATCCCTCTAGCTCATGGGCATATCATTCTCTGTCCCAGGGGGCATGTTTAATTGCCCTGGAGCTGTGAAACTGTGTCGACCTTACTTGTCAGCCATTTCAGGTTAAGGGCCCAGGGGAAGGCTTGGGTCGCCCAGAAACCCCATTAGTCTGAATCAGATTTGTGAGCCGGATCTCCTGTATCTTGAAGTCCTCCTGCTTTTTGCAGGATCCTAACTATTAACTTTTAATATGCTAACACATTTAGGGGCTATTAGCTAGGGCGATTGATACTCTTAGGAGATTGCTTAATTTATTTATCAATGCCAGCTTAATTTTCAGTTTATGAGAATCAGTTTTTGCATACTTATTGCAGATACTCTTTTTTTTCAAAAAAGGGTTATCTTTATCATAACTAGGCTCATAAAATAAGGATCATAATTAGCATTGCCATGCCAGAATGCTGTCTGATGGTGTAACGGTCATGTTGGCTAACATAACCTGTCTTTCCCTGACGTTTTTGTAGAAACTTAAGAAACAATGAAATTTCATGGGCCATAGAAGATGCTAGTGAAGCCTTTGCTGGACTCACAAGTCTTACTACATTGTATGTATTTAAAATATTTCCAAGAACCAATTGTATTTGTGATTAGATTATGCCTATTTGCTATGGCTGGAAAGTCTAAAAAGCCCTTTGACTCATTCACTAAAAGAAGAAGCTTTGTTGATTATTAAGTTTTTTGTTTTTGTGGGGTTTTTAAATTTTTGTTTTATGTGGTGGGGCACTTTCTATTGAAAGTGCATTCCTATGGGAAAGTTGTTTATGGAATTGAATTTCTATTTTAAGTAAAAAAAATGTACTGAGAAACCAGAGCTGAACCAGTAATCCTGTGAGATAGGGATAATTTATCTAACACGAGAAGATTCTCTCAGATTTTTGGGTCTTCTCCCATGAGAGTTTCTTTAAGGCTTCACACTTGTCTGAATTTCTCTGCTAATGATCTTTTGCTAAAAAGGGAGGAACGGGGAGTATGATCCAACTCCTCGTATGGAAACTGCCAGTGTGCTGGTGTTCAGATGGTTATTCACGGGCACCTCATTGAGCTCGAACAGCTTAATGGAAGCCCTCATTCTGCACTTTGCATTGGTTAATCGTAAATGTTTGCAACTTTCTTAAAAATGCACGTTAAGCTTATTTTCACCTTTATAGGTAAATGTTTGATTTAATGAATTTAATTTTGTTTAGTGGAGAGCTTTATTAGAAAGGTCTGTTTGTATTTCAGAATCTTACAAGGAAATCAGATTAAATCAATTACAAAGAAAGCATTCATTGGTCTTGAATCCCTTGAGCATCTGTAAGTATTTTGCATATATTTGTCTCAGTATATAAATAATCTTTGCTGTTAGCAGAAATTTTCATGACCATTTAAAGTGTTTATAGAACTTAACTGTAGAAATGGTGACTGGTAATGTTTCGTTTGTCTTCATTTCAGAGATTTGAACAACAATGCTATAATGTCTATCCAGGAAAATGCTTTTTCTCAGACTCGCTTGAAAGAACTGTACGTAATTGAATTATTTTTTGTTACCAATTAGATAATTATCCATGCTTGTGCTTAAAAAGTGTGATAAATGTGACCCAGATGTTTTTTAAAAGCACACAATTCAGGCAGGAAAAAAGGTGTTAATGTGCAGTTATTTTAGTGGCTGGATATAATTTAAAAATAACCCAAGATTGAAAAGCACAGTGTGGCATCACAGCCTTCTGTTTGCCTGTGCTTATTATTGGCACTGGTCCTTGTGCTTTACGTATTCCCCACTGTCCCCCCTGCCCCCACTTCCTCCTTGGACTCTTGGAAACATGTGTTTCCAATCCTTACCTCTTGGGGTGTGTTACAGTTAGGTATTGTGTAATCATTCTGGAGATGATCTAGCACTTTCAGTACAGTGGTCAGAAAGGATGTCTGTAATCTCTTCATGCCAGTGGTTAGAATCAAGGGACAGTAACAATTCATCTTGCCTTACCTTTCGAAAGCTACTTAGAGAAGGTCTGTGATCCAGGAGTGGTTCACAGTGAGATAAGGATAGAAATTGAGAGTAAGTGAAACTTTTAGAACAGTTTGACATTACTGTGATACTTTTGTTGAATTTTTTAATAAAAGTATTCATCTACAACAGATGGGAAATGTCAGGAACTGGTTGTTTACCAGACAGTTTGAGATGCATTGGCCGTGTGTGAGTTCAGATGACCTGGGTTCGAATGCTTGCTCGGTTCTTACAGCTATGGACAGTGGGCAGATCGATTAGCCTAAGACTGTTTATCTAGTTAAAGTGATAACACCACCTTCTTAGGGCTTGTGGGGATAACATGAGATTAATTTGTTTATTCAAGGAGTTTATTTCCATCTTCTATGCGAGGCAGTGTCCCTAGAAGTGACCCAGACAGTCTCTGTCTCACGTAGCATATCACACCGCAGTGAGTTCCAGTGAGGGCAGCAGGTAATGTAGCTCTGTAACGCCTCATCAGGTAACAAGTGTTGTGATGAAACACAAAGCTGGGTCAAAGGTATGAAGAGTGACAGGCATTGCTGTTTTAGATGACGTAGTGCGGAAAGCCTTTCTGAAGATAACAGCATTTGAACCAGGACCTTAATGAATGAAATGGCAAACCACTGAATACTGGGTGAAGGGCATCCAGGCACGGGAAAGGACAAGTGGAAAGGCCTCAGACAGGAGCTTGCTCTTGGGCTGGACACTGGTGTGGCTGGAAAACAGGAGCGGGGCGGGGAGTGGGAGAAATGAGTTCAGGGAGTTAAGCAAGAACCAGATCATGTAGGGTCTTGTAGGTCAGGAGGAATTAGGCCCCCCCGCCCCCGCAAATTACGTAGGAAACTTTGGAGAGTTTTGAGATGTTCAACACAGAGCCTGGCACATAGTAAATGTTGAATAAATAATATTAATAACAAACATAAAAATGTATGACAATTATTGTTATTTTCTACAGATTTACAGATTTTTTAAGTGCCCCCCTTTTTTTTGGTCAAGATATTTAGAATTTTTTCCTAGGCTTAGGTTAATTTGTAAGGACCCAACTTATGGCATGTCAGTGCGGCCCTTTTTTGCCTGTGATAATCTGAGGGCCAGCAAGAAAGTTTTAACTCTTGTTATGAGCTCAGTTCAAAATGTAATTTAGATAGTAGATGAAAGCACATATTATAGTCTTACTTTTCAGAGAGTCATTTAGTAATTTGGGAATTGGTATAAGCAAACTGCTAATGCAGGAACTCTAATGCAGCTTTTTTACTGAGAAGTTTGGCTGTTTTCAGTTACTTTAAATCTAAGCGATATTTATACTTCTTTTGGTATTGTTCATAATGCTGTGTAAATATTGGAAGGAGGTGGAAGAGTTGCATATAAATTTTTTAATGCAAAAGATATTTTGCATTAAAATTATATAATCATGGTAGAAAATTAGAAAGTATAATTAAACCAAGATAGAGAAAAAGATCCCAAATCCCAACTATTCAAAGACAACAACTGTTAATACTTTGGTGTCTGTCCACCTACTTGAGGGAATGCGGGTCCTCTATTAGGCACCTGTGGGCATGGTTGGGTAGCATGTGAAGGGTAGAAAGATGCTGGGAAATAGAAGTAAAGTGTGAATTCAGTGGTATCTGTGGCCAGGTACTGTGCTGAGTACTATATTTAGAATTTTTTTGATGTGGGCATTTTCAGCCCCATTTTCTAGAAATATGGAAACTGAGATTTTGGAGACATCACACAGAAGAAAACAAACAATTCAAGCTCTTAGTTTATAAAGCACCCACGCAGCCTGGTCCTCCCTGCCCAGCTCTCCGACCTCATTCCTGTCACCATTCCTCAGGTCCCTCTGTCAGCGATACCCTTAACCACAGGTCTTCCCGAGATTTGCCGTCCGGTCTTGTCCAAATGTCATCTCTTCAAAGACTCTTTCCCTGACCACTTGACCTAGGCTGGTAGCTGCTGTCTCAGTGTCGTTGCCTAGCTGCGTCTGCGTGTGTGTCCACAGCACTTACTTTCTGACATACTTGCATTTTTTGTTTATTGCTTGGTTCTAAATACGTAAGCTCCATGAAGGCTATGTTCCCACAACCTACAACACTTTCTGGCATGTAATAGATGCAAATATTTCTCTATGAATGAGTGAATATAATATAAAAATTGTTAAATGCATAAGGTAACTTTTGGCCTGCTTAATTAAAATTACCCTTGGTAAAACATGGCTTTTGATATGCCCTTAAAAACTGTTTGAAATCAGTCTTTGGAATCATATCTTTGGTACTTTATACCAAACTTAAAAACCAGATGAGGGGCCATTAAAAGAAAACACTGATTTTTTTTTTCTTTTAATATATGAGAGACAGCAGCAAAAGTAGGTTTACAGTTGTAATACAAATAAATAATACATAATAAATAGCAATACAGGAATAAACTATGTTTTGCATACATACAACTGTAAACCTACTTTTGCCCCACCCTGTGTTTTATAGGCCTATTACAGACCACAAATAATTTTTCAGTGATTCTTAGTTTAAGTTGTAGTACACATTGCCACAGGCTGAAGTGTTTCCGTCTTGATTAATTTGAAAAATTATGCTCATATATATATAGTAAACTCGTGTGTGTGTGTGTGTGTGTGTGTGTGTGTGTGTGTGTGTGTGTAAACAAACTTCCAGAGAGAGAGAGTAGACTTATTCCTAAACTTTTCTGGGAAAAATTTTAAACCTCAAGGATTTAAAGGGAGGTATAAAGAACATCCATATACCCTTTATCTAGATTCACCAATTGTTAATTTTTTGTTAAATTTGTTATCTATTTCTCCTTCCCTCCCCTCTCCCTCTCCTTCTCTATGTCTCTCTCCTGTCTCCACGCACACAGGTACATATATACACACACAGACTATTTTCCATTTGAAAGGGAGTTGGAAACATGACAGTTTACTTAGAAATACCTCACCCTCTATTTCCCAAGAACAAGACTATTTTCCTGCATAACCACAGCATTATTGTCACACCCGGGGAAATTAACATGGATAAAATAGTACCCGATATGCAGTTTATAACTCAGATTTCTACAGTGTCAAAAAATGTTCTTTGTAGATTCTTTTTCCAGTCAAGGATCATGCATTTCATTTGGTTGTACGTGTTCTTCAGTCTCCTTTAATCTAAAATGGGTCCCTTGCCTTGTCCCCGCCCTTCCCCATTAGTGTCTTTCATGACACTAACAATATTTGAGGAATTCAGGCTGAGAGGCTGAATTTGTTTTCTTGTGTTACATTCAGGTTAAACATTATTTTGGCAAGAAAAATGCATAAGTGTGTAGTGACCTTGTAATGCTTGAAGGAACTTGGAATGTAAAATAAAAAGTACTTCTTTTCCTCTTTGTTTCTGCAGGATTCTGAACACAAATAGTTTGCTCTGTGACTGTCATCTGAAGTGGTTGCTTCAGTGGCTGGTTGATAATAGCTTTCAGCATTCTGTGAATGCAAGTTGTGCACACCCTGAATGGCTGGCAGGGCAAAGCATCCTGAATGTGGATCTGAAAGATTTCGTCTGTGGTTTGTATTTTTGTTTTAAAATTTTATATATGACACACTTATATCTTAACAACAGATTTTTTTTAAAAAGGAGGTAATAGGATTACAACTTGTCTTGAAATTTTAATAAAGGTTTTTCTTTTTTTCCAAGTAACTGCTAACGCTTAAGAAGTACATTCTAAGCATAAGTGACAATAACGGAGGGGGGAAGCGTGCTAAACCATGAAGCCTGAACACCTGAGTTCCAGTCCAGGCTCTGCTGCTGACTGACGAGCCTTTGAGCAATCCATCTGACCCTCTTGGACCTAATTTTTCTCATCTTTGAATGAGGGAATTGGATTCTAGCGATAATGTCTTTCAGTCTTAATATGCCATTTGTAAACAGAGCACACAGTTTTACATTATTTGTTTTAAAATTGAATCTGTAGAAGCAAAAATAAAAAACTGACCTTGCTCCCTGTCCCATTCTTTTCCCTTAGATGATTTTCTCAAGCCACAGATACGAGCACATCCTGAAACGACAGTTGCTCTCAGAGGCGTGAATGTGACTCTGACGTGCGCTGCAGTGAGCAGCAGCGATTCCCCCATGTCTGCTGTGTGGCGCAAAGACAGTGAGATCTTGTATGAGGCTGATATTGAGAATTTTGTTCGTTATCAGCAGCAAGCTGGAGAAGCTCTGGAATATACTAGCATCTTACATCTTTTCAATGTGAATTTCACCGATGAGGGAAAATATCAGTGCATTGTTACTAATCACTTCGGTTCTAATTACTCTCATAAAGCCAAGCTGACTGTGAATGGTAAGGAATTATGCTCCCTAATCGTTTTTTGTAGTTAGAAAGATTTTTCGCATTCAATTTTGAACCTCTTGACTCAAGAAAATTAGGCTAAACCTGACATTTGACAGGGTCACCTTACTGTTTTTGTCTTTAGGGTTGTGATCATGTGTAGACTGGATTGTCAGTTTGTCCACTTACTGTCCCTGATTGGTCATTGGTTGAGGGGTAAATTTGAATTCCATGGCCCTAAGGAGATAGGCTATTTTCACTGTTATGTATGCTTTTGAAAAAAATGTTTTTTTACAATTTTATTTATTGATTTTAGAGAGAGGGAGGAAAGAGGGGAGAGAGAGACTTCAATTTGTTGTTCCGCTTGTCGATGCATTCATTGGTTGACTCTTGTTTGTGCCCTGACTGGGGAATCGAACCCACAACTTGGCAGGTTGGGATGATGCTCTAACCAATTGAGCTCGTCAGCCAGGGCTGAAAAAAATTCTTTTTGAAATTTTGCATTTTCTTTCCAGAACCATAATTCTGTTTTGAAAACTATGAAATTTATTCCTAAAAGACACTGCTCACAAGGCCTTTCAATAACTGGAAGTATTTAGGACATTTCTAGGTCCAACGATCATCATCATTGTCTGAACATAGTCACACAGAACCATGTTTGAAATTAATGCTCTTCTTTACTGTGGCTATCAAAAAATTCTCCAAAACTGCTTGATTTACTTAATCACCTATTAGATTAAATAACTACAATGTTTTAGGCTTTGTGCAACCTAAAGATGTACTTGTGTTTTGCTGCTTTGTTGTTTTATGAGATTTTTGAAGGCATAATTTTTTTTTACCATACTGTTGCCTTGGCAGCTCTGCAGATGTTGGTTTGAGAAGCACTGTTTTGTCTCTTAAGTAAGAGGAGTCACAGCAAATACCAGGTTCTAAAATACGGAGTTCGGAAAGGCTTTGTGGCCATCTGTTTTCCCTGCCGCCTTGCAGGGGTCAAGGAGGTGTGTGATCCATTCTGGAAGAGCCACTCATCGCTGTGCTCTAAATACTCTGCGAGGAGAAAGGGGCCTCTAAGCTTTTACTTTACTGTCAGTGTAGAAGTGCAGCATTGCAACAGGTGCCATTTGGCCTGTGGGTTTTGTGTGTATTTTTCACCCACCCACTTTTTCTCCATGATCTTTCTTGGAACAGAAATGCCATCTTTTCTGAAAACTCCAATGGATCTAACTATTCGCACCGGTGCCATGGCCAGATTAGAATGCGCTGCAGAAGGGCACCCTGCACCTCAGATTTCCTGGCAGAAAGACGGGGGTACTGACTTTCCTGCGGCCCGAGAAAGACGAATGCATGTCATGCCCGAGGACGATGTCTTCTTCATTGCAAACGTGAAAATAGAAGACATGGGAATCTATAGCTGCCTGGCACAGAACATAGCAGGAGGCCTCTCAGCAAATGCCTCACTCACAGTGTTAGGTAGGTTTACCTCTCCATGGATCCCTGCTTTCGTAGGAGCCTTTTTATTTAGGGACCTGCCCTTGGCCTGAATAACAAGAAAAAACTAAGTCTGAGATTTCAGTTGTTATCCTTACGTCTTCATCACCCTATTTTGCCTGTTTATACAGGGTTATGTCAGCCTCGGATATTAGTGGATCAGATAGCTGAAATCCGGGAAAGTGCTAAGGGCGGACGGATATAGAGATCTTTATCACATGAATGATAAATTCAAGTCCCCTTTTCCTGTTATGTCTTCCTCTGTAAGGTATCTGCTTCATGCACATGGTTTTTCTGCTCTTCAGTAGTGAGTTTCAGTTTTATACAACATCAGAGAGAGCTTGAAACAGTTTAACTGTTTTTCCTCCATTCCATTTAAAAATTTTTAATACAGACAAAATGACCTGTCTTCTAGGTAGATTCCCCATTTTCCTTCCAGTGTATTATTCTTAATTTTATGCTGTGGTAATAAAATATCTTTTCCCTAAAGATTTCTCTAACAAACCTGTTTTTTTCCTTATGAGAATGCTTTTCTTTATGGGACTTAAATCCAGGGCAAATTCTACTTTTAGTTCTCCATTCCCCTAGATAAAAAAGGTTAAAAGAAAAAGGTTTTATTTATTTTTAGAGAGAGGGGAAGAGAAGGAGAAAGAGAGGGACAAGAAACATCAACGTGTGGTTGCCTCTCATGCCCCCTACTGGGGACCTGGCCCGCAACCCAGGCCTGTGCCCTGACTGGGAATCAAACCCATTGCTTCGCAGTCCGGTGCTCAGTCCACTGAGCCACACCAGCCAGGGCACATTCCCCTAGATAAGATTTTTAAGTTTGTTGGTTTGTGTTGTTTACTTACTTATATAATGACAAAACAAGTTTATTGTGTTTAAAAACTTTATACAAAAAAATTAGAATAAAAGGGAAAATCACTCAAACGCTTGTTAAAGATTTTGTCATATTCTGGACTTTTTTTACTCTTATTTTTATATAGTTATGTTTAACTTATTTTTTCCACTTAATATTATCACAGGGTTATCCTGTCATTGGTCGTCATAAAATATCACATGGTTGTGTACTGTAATTTCTTAATCATTTTCCTGCTTTTTTTCCCCTTTATTTTTAAAAATTATAACTAATTTTATAAACATCTTCGTGGAGAAATTTTGAATTTCTTCATTTAGGATAGCTTGCCCCAGGTGGAATTACTAAGGTGAGATTTAGATTTCTTGGAGGCTTTTGCTTTCTTGAAATAATAACTTTTAAACTTCCCACGAGTATGTGAAAGTACTTTTTCTTTTTAACCTCAGTAACCTAATTCAGTAGGACTTGAGAAATAAAATTGCTTACTGTGATTTTTATACGTCTCTTTGTTAGAGACGCCCTCATTTGTTAGGCCCCTGGAGGACAAGACGGTGGCGCGGGGTGAGACCGCGGTCCTGCAGTGCATAGCGGGGGGGAGTCCTGCCCCGCGCCTCAACTGGACCAAGGATGACGGAGCTCTGCTCGTGACAGAACGGCACTTCTTCGCTGCGGCCAACCAGCTTCTCATCATTGTAGACGCTGGGCTGGAAGATGCTGGGAAGTACACCTGCATCATGTCTAACACTCTTGGGACAGAACGAGGTCACATTTACCTAAATGTCATCTCGTCCCCTAATTGTGACTCCTCCCAGAGCAGCATTGGGCATGAAGATGATGGCTGGACCACAGTCGGCATTGTCATCATTGTTGTGGTCTGCTGTGTGGTGGGCACCTCTTTGATCTGGGTCATTGTTATTTACCACATGAGAAGGAAAAATGAAGACTATAGTATCACAAACACAGGTGAGTGGAACCAGTTGACACCTATGGCTTGTACCTGAGCCAGAAATGTAGTACAGGATTTACTGTAAACTATAAAAACTAAGGAGCTTTGATAACCTTGTGTGGTCAAAGGAAGAGTTGTTTCTGTTAAAATGTCCTATTTCCTTGATATAACGGAACCCCTGATGAATAATTTTAAGAATCTGTGGACACTCCCTCAAAACTTCGCTCTTCTTTCCTGAGTGCCTAATGCTTATTTCCGTCATCATGTCCCTGTGGGGAGGAGTGGAACCCTTATTCCTGGGACCCATCTTCCACCCCCCCCCCCCCGAAATCCTGAGGGAGAAGAGGTTCAGCCCTAGCCTATGAAAGTGTGCATGTGTGTAGATGAGATTTCAGACTTTAGGTTTTGTTTCTTCTGATAATACTTTTACAGTGAAGCGCTGAAAGGAATTCTAGTGAAAAATAGTTCTAGGGGAAAATCTCAAGAGTTGTTAATTTCCTAGGTATGTGTAACATTTTCCTGACCAGTAATATCAAAGTGGAACACATTTGCAAGATAGTCTTCTGAGTGTTGGCTTAAATCGCCTAACTTCATTTGTGAGCTACATTCGGATTTCTCTTTTACAGAGGAGCTTAATCTGCCTGCAGACATTCCCAGCTACTTGTCTTCCCAAGGAACGCTGTCTGAGCCACAGGAAGGCTACAGCAACTCTGAGGCAGGCAGCCACCAGCAGCTGATGCCTCCTGCCAGTGGGTACTTACACAAAGGTGTCGATGGTAATGCCTCTTTGTGGTTTATGCTTACAACTTCAGCCTTACCCTACCTATCGAGTTTCCTTTTTTTGGTGTATAGTTTCCCCCTTTAATCTGAAGCAGTATTTTAAAGAGATACTCAAAACATTTCAGCCCATGCAAAATAAGATGAAAATTGACTAAAGTCTTAGCAGAGAAGTTGTCACCTGACACAAAGGAGAAATATGTGCTAAAGGGATTGGGAGTGGACAGGGCAGGCTCCCAGACCAGTGTTGTTATGGGATGGGGACACACTGAAACTGTTCTCAGCTGTCTTTGGTCTGATTGAGGCGCGAGCATCCTCCCGACCATATGCTGGGGGGGGGGGGGGCAGGGGGCACAGAGGGGTGGTTTCTCCTGCTGACAGGTAGATAGGCACTAAAATTTAAAGGGTGAGGATGTTTTTCAGCATATATCAAAGAGAGAGACAGTGCACTCTTAATTAAACGGACCTGACTTCTCAACACAGATTTTCTTCCCACTGCACCCTTCCCACGGGGCAGAGCAGCACAGGGAGGGGAGCGCAGGGTAGAAGCGCTGGGTGTGGTTCTTAGTTCCTCTTTCCTGCTCTGTGGCCATGAACCACTTAAGAGCTGAGCTTTAATTGCCTCATTTTTAAAATAAAGAAAATACTTAAAAAGCACTTTTCTCAAGATTCTAGCAGAGTCTTTCAACAAATCTGTGCAGTACTTCAAGTACTATACAAATTAAAGGTCTATTCCATTTCTAGGGATTTTTATGCTGGGTTGAATTTTATTTTGGCTTTCCATGGGAAAAGGGGCATTTCTAGTTTTTAAAATAATACTTAAAGAGTCTTTACCCTCTGAAATTTGTGGGAAATTACACTGTCTTCTGGGTTAAACTAAATTACCTTTGGGTCTCTTCTAGTTCTAATGTTTTGTTGCTTGTTGGTGAAAAAGTAACTCACTCTTTATTTCTCACTGTCTTTCCTCTCCTTCATCTTTCAGTTTCAGACACACATAGCAGTCCAGGGAGCTCATTATTAAACTTTTACCTCTGCCAAGCACATACTTGTCATGCAGGACTCTTGGCTCCCTTTGGGGGTACTTTCCGCAACTAGCATTGCTTAACCTCTTGACTCCCAAAAGTGATGGGCTTTTGGTGAAGTGAAGTCATCATGACTCCCTGTTCTTTGCTTTAGTTTTCTCAGCCAAATGTGTCTTGTAGCACAGTGCCAGCCTTGTCTTGGCGCCCTTGATCGGAGCCTGACCGTGTCCAGGCTGGACAAAGATGGTTCTGTCGAGAGCCTGAGCTCTGCAGCCAGAGCCTCCGCCTGAGTTCAGACTTGAGCTCCTCGCTCTGGCAGTATGTTTGGGCAAGTTTCTTAACTTCTTTGTGTTGTAGTTACCCCATCTGGGAACGGGGATAATAATAGTCCCTACCTTACAGGGATATTGTGATAATTAAGTAGTTAGTTCACAGAAAGACCTTGAAAGTCATTCTGGTTTATAAAGTAAGTGTTGAGTAAAGGCCAGCTGTGATGATAATGATAGCAGCTGTTGAAGAAACCTGATGCTGGTGAAGCTTGCTCCTTAACCAAAGGATCTTTGGGCTCTTTCCCATGTTGTCCTCAGGTGGCACTGGTCCCCGGGTTATCTGCTCAGATTGTTACGACAATGCCAACATCTACTCCAGGACACGAGAATACTGTCCCTATACCTACATTGCTGAGGAGGATGTTCTAGATCAGACATTGTCCAGCCTCATGGTCCAGATGCCCAAAGAGACGTATCTGGCACATCCTCCTCAAGATGCAACCACCCTGGAGGGCCTGGTGTTACCAGCAGATGGAGAGCTGCCCGCCTTCCCCACCAACCGTGAGAGGACCAGTGGGGAGAGACCGTCCTCCACACAGATGAGCAGTGGTAAAGGGCGCAGTGTTTTTTGTTTATTTTGTTTTTACTTTCACCTACTTGATTTTCTCTTATTTGGTAGGAAGCAAATTAGTATAATGGAGTAATTAGCTACTGTTAACGGGTATTAACTAGAGCAAGAGATTTTCAGAGATTAGAGTTACAAAGAAGTTTGCATCTGTAGGATGAAAACAGCTTTTGTGGGAATAACAAGATTATAACTAAAAATTCAGAAACTATATAGAAAAAGCTTTTAAAAAGTTACATATTACTTTCATCTTTTTTTAAATTATGGAGATTTGAAATGCTAAGGATGTAATTTGGTGAAGATTTTTCTTGAAGATTGTAAAACGTTTTGTTTGGTTACTGTGCTGTCAGGTTAAGCATTGAACGTCAGTATCACCTGGCAGGTGTTTGCTTTTCTCTGGGAGTTATGATGATCAGGGCAATGGTGGGAAAGCCGTTGGGGGATAGTGTCCTTGGTCCCCCACGGCCCAGGAAGAGGACTGCATGTTACATGGTGCAGATGAAGCATTTGCTAAGAACGTGGTCAGTAAAAAAAGCAAAACAAACAAAAACCACTTTTGAGACAGGGAAGGGCACTACTGCACATGTCCTCCTGTCCATCCAGGCATTTTGCTGGCTGCCAGTCTCCCTTGGGTGGGCTGAGATCCCAGAGCGCTGGCAACAGGGCGGGCTGAGCCACGCAGGGTCCAGAGGAAGACGGTGTGCGGTGGTGCTCCGGGGCGGCTCCGGCAGAGGGGAGGGCCTGGCGCGGGGCCTTTGAGATACGCTCTGTTGTTCTGATTAAGAGACTGACTCTCAAAGGTTCTGATGAAGGTGCAGGTCAGAAAAAAGTACACTGCTACCAAAGTTAGCCTCCTGTCTTTAAAGTTAGTCTCAGTGTCCAGGAAAGAAATACACCAACACTAAGTACGTTTTCCCATGTCCCAGAAGAGTTATACACACAAAAATCTTTAAGTAGACCCAAAAATGCAGTGCATCTTTTTCCTAACTTTGGGGATATCTTGACTGTTAATCTGTCTGGTCTGTAAGTGAGGAAATTGGCAAAGGAGAGTGTGTGGGTGCTTTGCCCTGCCCTTGCCCAGGGCGCTCTAGCTCCTTGCTCCTCACAGAGTGGTCTGTCTGCAGAGCTTGTTAGAACGGCAGATCATGGGTCCCACCCCAGACCTGGTGAACCAGAGTCTTTATTTTAACAAACTCCCCAGGTTTTTTGTATGTATATTAAAGCCTGAGGAGCCCTGCTATCTACTATTCACATGGGTTTTTTACACATTTTATTTCTGAGCATTTGTTTCCAGAATGTTTCACTAAGCTTTTTTCAAAATCATCCCCATGAAGTTAATATAACTTTCAGTAAATGATCTTTGGGGGGAGAGAGCACACCGCTGCAGTAAATAGAGAGAGGAATGCACTCTTTCTAATCCAAAGTACAGATAATCCAATGGTTATTATTTTATTATTACAATTGTTGGCATGATAGAAACTGGAGGGGAAAGGTTTATTTTTCAGATAGCTTTTTTTAAAACATAGCATTTAGTTATTTAAAAATATAATGGCTGCTTTGAATCAATTTTTATCTACGTATCATGCAACTCTCATTACAATATGGGTACTGTTAGTCTCTTAGTCTTGTTTCCATGTATCTAAAGAGTTTTATTTTCAAATTTTGTAGCAGTAGGACCACTAACAGTAGGCAAAAGTAGAAGACATATAGCGTGGATTCAGTAAATAATTGGTTAAGTTTGCTGAGTAGAAGGGTTTGCAAGACCATAGTTCCAGATTTTGTTTTGTTTTCTTTTTTTAAATTATTGCTAAGAAGATGGCAACTATATATTTGACCTCAGCATCCTTATTCAGGAATATTGGGTATCTTTAATTTTTTTTGAGGATTTGGGTAAAATAAAATTAAACTTTAGAAAATTAAGTTTGAACTTGTATTCACCCCTGGTAATTCTTGTCTTTGATTCTCAGAAACATTGCAGCGGCCTCTGTGGAATGTAAGCAAGGAACTAGGCCCGCCTCGCCCTCCCCTTCCCCAGCAGCCGGGCCCTGAGTCGCCACAGCTTCATCAAACTGAGGGCGTGGCGGAGAGTGACGCAGACTGTTCCACGGCCCCTGTGCCCCATCACAGGTTCCACGACCATGCTTCTGACTTTGCTAGGACTCGGAACATTCAAGATGGTAGCGAGGGCACATGAAACACTTGGGATGAAATCTGGGCAAAGGCCCACTTTAGTTAATTTTGTATTTACTACCTCAGAGTGAGAAGAAACCCCCAAGTCAACATTTGCTTTACTCTTTGTCTACGATTCCATCTGACCACACCAAGGTAGGCTAGGCATTTGTTTGGGTTTATAAGCCCTGACAAAGAAAGGGCAATGGCTGATGGAAACAGTACGTGTAATAGACAATGTGCAGAGGGGCAGAGGAAGACAGAGGACACACGTGCTTCCTGATGGTTCCGTGGGTGCGCCCAGGTGCGCATTGCACCTTAGGAAGCGTCTCATTGCTGCTTGACATGCCGATTGTCTCAGCCCACAAGATGATTCTGAGAAGACGAAACTGTTCTATTTTGTCTTCTAAAGAACAAAAGTAACTCTGGAGCCCTCTGGGATTCCGGGATTGGTCAGGGGCTTTTAGCATGTGGTTGAGAGTGGGGCTTTGATATTCAAGGTCTTCAACAAGAATCCCAGGTTTGACCACCTGTTACCAGGTCAAGGAGTTTTATATTCTTGTGAAATTTGTGTGTGTGTGTGGAGGGGGGTGGGGTTCCTTATCACCCGGGGATCTCATTGTAAATATATGTGTATTTATAAATAATTTTGTATTCATTGACCATATGTGTTGTCTGCAGTGTAAATATTTTTGATATGCCAAAATTATATGTGACATCCAGTTACAATATTGACAGCAGCTTCTCAGACCACAGACAGATTTTGTATATGTTGGCTTAGTGAATCTAAAGACTGTTCAAAGTTTTAAAAATGTTATTTGTTAAGAAGTATATGTATAGAGCAAGGTACCTAGTGATTGGGTATGCACAAACACAATCTTGGTGTAATTAACCACTTCATCCCTAGAGGTTCATACATCTACTCATTTGCCACCTGTTTACGAGTGCCAGGTAACATTACCTTTCTAGCATAAAAAGGCTCACTCAAAACACTAGCAGCCTTGCCATTGCCATGTGCACATGGATAAAGGAAAACTTGTTTGGGGAATACTTTTTTTTAAACAAAGTACTTAGTTGATGAGGAAACCAAAGATTGCTTCTTTTCTGTGTTTTTTAAAATGTCTCTTCTACCAATGCACAGTGTATCTTAAGGGAAGAGGGCTTTTGGAAGTACAAGAATGTGCAGAAATGTTTACGCTATAATGCTTTGGAGTGATCCTTGTGATTATTTAAGCCAAAAAGTTTTCCTGAATTCCTGATAGCAAAAAGCTTTATGTAAACAAAGGACTTAACACTCTAATGGAATGTAATGGGCTGAAGTTCCTTGTGCTTCCTGATTTCCTTACATAGGCAGTCAGAATCTGTCCCCTGCATCTAGTCAGTACCAGCTGTGTACTAGAGAACGTCAGTCACTTAGGTGAAAATGTCTGAGTCATTGTGCATTTCAAGGGTTCTAAACTCATAGAAGTTCTCAGTTTTTTGATAGAATTTCATACTTGTTTTTGACCCTAAATTTTCCTCCCATAGGCAGCAGTACTTCTTGACCGGTGTTATTCCACCACACCTTTTTCCTTTTCAAACTGTCAGCCACTGTTCTTTTTCACTTTGAACTTCTTAAATATGTTTTTTTCCCTATCCTTCAACTTGTGGTCATTCTTCTTAACTTACTGGGTTGTAGTATGATTTATACTAACTTAGGATGATGAGGCCTGATTTCATGCCTGGCTGTGCTACTTACTGGTTGTGTAATGAAGGGCCGGGCCCTTTACATCCCGCCCCAGTTTTCTCATTTGTGAAATGAGGGCATTCTCCCCAATGCTCTAAAGCCTTTCCCGGCTGTAATGCTCTATGAATCTGTGATCCCTCCAGGAACCAAGGAGGATTCCGCTACTCTAACAAAAAGCTGCTTTCATGAAACGTTTGTTAGGGTAGAACAAGAGTAATGCTGCTCACCTTGACTTGAGCCAGATTTATGTCCTCTATAGAGGGAGGTACAAGAAATACTCATGAGGAGAAATGTTTTGTTTCTAAACAGTCTCAGAAAACCAGGACCCTGGGCTGCATGGACAAGCGCTCGGTGCCCTCCAGAGCAGCAGGTCTGGTCGCAGTTCTCCAGAGCATCGGAATCCCATGGAGGCTCTGCCATAGCTGATCTGTGGCCAGTTTGTGACTCACTGACCTTTCTCATGTATTCAAGGTTATCCCAGTGATGATAGTACTTTTGCTCACATTCTGACAGACTTTCTTGAGAGAAAAAGGTGGAGTTTGAGTTAGGCTGCAGGTGAACATCAGCCGTTAAGCGTGATGGGACAAGAACAGGCTGGACCAGTGCCGCCTCGCTGCTTCAGCAGTGGCCGTTCTCTGCCCGCGGTGGCTGAGCCGGTCTCCGATGGCCAGGGTCTCCATTAGGGCAGCTCAGGCGGTGCGGTGTGCCCCTGGGTATTTCCAGCTTGTCTACATCACGAAAGAACTTGCCTAAATAACTGGTCAGGGATTTGTTTAAATGTGGATAGTCTACCCCGGTCTTGAAAAGTAGTAAGTTTAATAAATTCTCGTCTTAGGAAGAATTCTTGAAACTTTGCAGTATTGCATGTATTTCTGACCAAGCAGTGATTTAACCCTCTGCCATCGTCAGGATTAGTGGCTCATCAGCCATTCTTTCCAGCAGCGTCCTGTCTGCCTGTTTAACCAGGGGCGTCACAGAGCAAGGCCGACAAAGATGCTGGGAGAGCTGCTCTCTGCCCCTGCTCAGCTCCCACTGGGCGTTGCACCCCTCCGGCTGCTTCTCCACGTCTGCCTGGAAGAACTAGTTTTACCCGTGAACTCCAAGCTTTACTGGCACAGGGTCTGCCCCGAAGCCATTGGCTCTGTCACTCAGCAGCTTCTAAAATCCTCTTCCTAGTATGCAAGTTACTCCATAGAACAGAAGGTAGCAGAAACCGAGCGCGGTGCGCACTTCCACCTCCTGTGCCATCGGAATGCCTAAAACATTTTCCTGTAAGGTAACTTTCATGTTTAAAAACAGTTGTCTTTTCATTGCCCATTGGGAGGTTGTAAAAGAAACATTAAGATGTCAAGCAGCTTCGACTCTTAGCCATCTTCCTAAGAAAAGAAATACGATAAAAGCCTTGAATTACTTAAAGCATTGTCATATGGAATAAGGATGAGATGCACTCATTTTATTTCACAGGATGTGGGTCAGATCAGTGGGGCAGGAGTTACAGGGAGATGCAGGATACACTTGCCAATAATTTTATGTATGCTCGCTAACAATTAGATTTGCCCGACAATTGGAATAATCAACCTTTCTTGGGAAAGGTACACACAGAAGCTAAGTAATCATCTGTTAAGAGCATCGAAGACATGTCTGCATTGAGATGGAATATGGCCAAGATGACTGTTAGGACTCTCTCATTCTGTTAGAAATCTCCAGAAAAACTTTCTCCTTCAGATTCCTTTATATAAAGTAAGTGTACAGCACTTAAAAATTTTTTAAAAAGAATTTTGGAGTTTGGCCTATTCTGTGTTAATAGTTAAAAACATAAAAGTCTGAGTTTATTCCTATGAGGAAATCTATAACTAGTACCAGTTAACACAAATAGCACCACCATAATAAAAAGTTTGACAGCCTATAATGTATTATAACCCTCTTATTTTACTCTTCACTTTTTAATTCCTGCTGCTTTTTTTTTTTCTTTAAAGATTTTATTTATTTTTAGACAGGAAGGGAGGGAGAACGGGACAGAAACATTGATGCGTGGTTGCCTCTCACACGCTGCACACTGGGGACCTGGCCTGACCAGGCAGGGATGTGCCCTGCCTGGGAATCAGACTGGTGAGCCTTTGGTTCGCGCAGGCGCCCAGTCCACTGAGCCACACCAGCCAAGGCTGATGCCTGCTGCTGGTGATCAGTGGGATCCACTTTGAACAGGGTTGGAATTGTTCAATTTTATACCCAGTATTTTACCTGAGTGTGTTGTGGTCTTTTCTAATTATTTAAATATCCACAGAAATGCCAAGAAGGTAATGGAGTAACAGAGGCAAATTTGCTGTCATTTTATGCTACACCCTCCATTTCTTGCTTCTTAATTCCAATAACAGGTGATTATGAAATAGTCAACGTAAGATTTTTGATTTTTTATTTTTGTAGTCTGCAAGTAATGAGAAAAATGCTTTGTTTTTCTGTTACATGCTTCTCTTTCCAGTTCAGTTAGGCAGATGTGGTCCCCTCCTGCTCCTTCTAACTTTTTTATTTGGAGTACAATCTAAACCGATATCAGTTACCTTCATTTTCTTTCTCTTTTGGCATTGCCTGGTTTGTTGCAAAAATAAGTTCTGAATGGAGAGAGAGATTACAAGCTGCTTTTAACAAAACACCTGAAAGCCCATATATCATCTGAAAGGGTTTTTTTTTCGGGGGGGGGTTGTGTGTGTGGGGGTGTGTGTGTGCGTGCGCGTACATACGTACGTACTTGGACCTGTTCCCTCAAGGTTGTGTGTTGTGTTTTTAATCAGTCCGATAATCTTCGTTAATGGGTGGGGTGAAGGGGAAAACCAGCTTGATTGAGCCTGTTTGCAAATGTTAAGTATAGTTATTAGCTGTAACTGTCTTGAAAGAAATTGATCATCAGCTGGTCAACTGCTCTTAAGAGTATTTCTGGCTGCTTGAAGTGGCCTCTTGATCAGAGATTATTTCTACCTGCTGCGTCCCCTCTTCTCCTCTGTCAGAGGACATCGGTCTGAGCAGTCCTGGTACTGGACGTCCCTGAGGAGAGCTATAATCCACATTGTTCCGTGTGGCCCTTCCCTCGTATCTATTTATATTTTCTCACACATGAGAATGTATATTTTATAAAGCATGTGTTTGTCTACTTGTCTACTGTAATATGTCTTCAATAAAGCTAAAATACACTACGATTTTTCTGGTCTTATGCAGGAGCGAAATGGTGCGTTTGTGTGAGTTTGTGGGGTTTTTATTTTTTCAGAGGGCTTCCAAATAACTACAAGTTTAAATGGGGAAGAATTTACCTGTTTGTAGTGCCTGCTGTAGGGAAGAGTCACACGTGGCCTTGAGCGCCGTGCGCATGCGCCCAGCTGCAAGGCCCCCGGGGCGGGCCTGGCCTTCCTCCTGGTGCCCACCCTGGTGCAAGGGGCCTGGCGGGAGAGAAACGCACGCGCTTAACAGTTCTTCAGGAGAGAGAGGAGATAGAGCGCACTCTGTGCAGGGGAACATTCAAAGGCAGCATTTTTCTAGTTCAGTAAATCGACAAAATATTTGGAGTGACTATTCTGGTCAGCTTTCTCACTGCGCCATGTTGGGGGCTATTTTCTTTGAGACTCAACTCAAGACTAGGCTCACAATACCGATTTTGTTGTGAGCATCTGGGGCATTTTAGGAGGTGCATTCCAGAGAGGGTGAGCTTATTTAAGTCTCACAACACTCCGAAGATGTAGACAGGGAGGATCGTTGAAATCACTTTTTGTGGTTGGGAACTGGCTCTGTGACACTCTCACAAACTGTTCAAAAAGCTTTTAGACAGTGAAGCCAGGGTTTGAATCCAGGTTTTCTGAAGCATATTCAGGACTTCTCCCACTGGGATGCCTTCCAGTTCTGAACAGTGTTGTACTGTTGTGTCTTAGTGTTCATACACATCTGAGTAAGAAGCACTCGGCCTCGGTCACTTTCAATGTGGTGAAAGATTGAACTGGAATGTACACTGGAAACTTTTTTTTTTTTTTACTATATTCGTGATAGGAAAACAGACTACCATTTTCTTTTAAGGGCGAAATGAAGAAAAATGCCATGCTTTTGCTGCTTTTTGGAGTGTCATGTATTAGGACCCAAGTAGCAGCATAGTAGAGCAGTAGCATCCTGCTGGGTTATGGAAGATCTTTTCCACATTCCTGAGTAACCCAGTGCTGAAACTCTGCTGCAGGACTCGTTGCTGGGGACCAGGGGTCCTGCGAGCATTCGAGGCCAGGCAGGTTCACACAGGACTTGGGCAGACGGGAGAACATGCGCGGAGCCGTGGGGGTGCCTGGCGTGCCTTTATCCCAGGGTGGGGCGACCCATGCCATGAGCTGTCAGTTGCCCTGTGGGAAATCCCAACTCCCTGACATGCTCAGTGCTCACAAAGCTGGCCGTGCTGACCTTCAGTTACATAACAGCGCCGTTCTATGCCCGCGGCCCCTGCTCAAGGCCACGTGAACACTGCCAAGCCGCAGCCGTATGGACATCCGGCTGAGGGAGTCGGGCTGGCTCCATTTTCCCTGACCAATACTTTGTAAAATACAATGAGTATCTGAAAACATGGAACAAAAACGTGAAAATTTTTTAACAGATTTAGCAAGTGTAAAATTATTCCGTCAAACTGCTGTTTCTAAATGCCTCCTTTTGACTTGGGTGCTGTGTCACACACCCGGAGCACACAGCGTATGGTGGGCGCGGACCTGCAGGCTGCTTTTGGAGTAGAGCTCCTGTAACCGTGGGCACAGTTCTGTTGTGCTGGGGCTTGGTTTTCCTGCTTTCTGGAGGTTCTTTTTTTATTGCTGGTTTGGACGAGTTGAAGCTGAGAACTGGCTCTCTGGAGGACTGCCTGACTAGAAGCACCAGTGGAAAACACCACCTTTTCAAAGCTCCTCACATGCCTGGTGGAGTCCTTCATAGCATGTTGCCCTTTCTCCATCGCCTCTGTTTTTCTGGCCAGTGCTCTCAGGATGGGCCGCCTGTGACTTCTGTTGTGAGGGAAATTCTGCCACGGGGCAGGCGGGGGGAAAAGGGCAGGGCACAGGCCACCGTCCTGGGACAGAGACGTCTGATGAGGTGGGGCCGATGTGGCCTGTGTCTCATCACCAGAGTAAGGCTTTGCTGGGGATCTTTCATCCACCACCTCAGCTGCTGGCTTTGTTTAGCCAATCAAGAAATATTTCTGGATCTCTAGGACAGAGATTTGTCACTTTATGTAGTCCTCAGGACATCAGCAAGGCTAGTTGCCAAAGCACTTTGAGGAAGAGGCAAATAGGAAGTATTGATTATTGCTAGGAAGGAGTAATGCAATAATAGCAAATATACCCAGTCCAGATACTGGTACGCATTGCATGTACTTAATACTTTATATTCACAACAATCCCTTTGAGGGAGATACTCTCATTTACAGAATGCATAGAAGAAACAGCATAAGCAACATGCCCAAATTCATGTAATTAGCAACCAGGCATTGGAATTATGCTCTGTGATTCCAAAGCACAAGTTCTTTCCCCCTATTTTGTTATTTACTCTTCATTACGGCCTGAGTTGTGTGCCCCCAAATAAGAGGAAATTGGGACACCAGACATGCATTGGCAGTGAGGAGGCAGCCATCTGCAGGCCAGCAAGAGAGGCCTCAGAAAAATACCTGCCAGCATTGATCTTGGACTAACAGCATCCAGAAACGTGAAAAAATGAACTGTTGTTGAAGTTACGCAGTCTGTAGTGTTTTGTTATGGCAGCCTGAACAAACGAATACAGTCTTCCGGTAACCCAGCCAGGCTGGTACAGTAGACTTCCCTTATAACTCACTATGTGCTTTGCCTCAGGTCACATGCTTGAAAGCCCGTGCCCTTGGTACTGAGCCATGCCGTCCCCTGGCCCCAGTCAGCGCCCTGTTTACTGCAAAGCTCTGCAGAGAAACAACACCGCCAACAAACACCGTGCTGGCGTGTTTGCCGTCCTGACACAGGTACTACACCCCAGCTTCATAGGAAGATGCTGCTGGAAGCAAGAAGCTGACGTGTCTGCCGCATAAGCGATTGTCAGTTGGGTGCATCCAGAAACAAAGAAGTAAGGTATTTGGTGCATTCAAGAGTAAGTGCTTTTAAGATCCCATTTTTTCCTCTCCCAAGGAGAAACCAGGTTTTTAAATCAATAATTGGAATCCCATATGTGGAATAACTGGCTGCTCTCGAGTTGTTTGGCTCAAGAAGTTTAATTTTGTGTTTGTGTCCTTTTAAAATCCTCTATCAAGGCCAATGGGAATTCTTCCATCTCAAAAACGATAGGCACGTGGTTAAGGTCGGCAGGGGTGGAATCTAGCTTGAATTATTTATTCTTCTGCGCAAGCTCCAGAGACGAGTGCATGGGTGTCCGTTTCATCCCAGAAACAGCTGGGCAGAGAAGAACTATAATTGCCATCCAGCTGAGTTCCTGCTGCTTGCAGGCCCCGTTCTTTACACATGTAACCTGGGTGTGCTTCAGGGGCTATAGCAGATAGGCTCTTACTGAAAAGGACCTTAGAGCTAAGATCCTGTGCGCAATGTTGAGAACTTTTGACATGCGGAGAAGTACAAAATCACAATACATGGCAGATTTTGGAAAAAGGCAATGTGTCACGTTGGCAGGAGTTTTGCCTCCGGGACCCGACTCCTCCACAAGCAGGCTTCCTCTGTCACCTTTTCTAGTCACCTGTCTCACCTGCCAAATGTGTGCCAGTTCCCGAAGATCCCTTGAGAGCAGAAAACTTTTCAAACTTTTTGCCTAGGAGGGCAAGGAGTTTGAGGACAGCCCCCTCTACCCGTTGAAAGTCTCTTTCTTTGGGCAGCCTTGAGAGGGAGGCCGTCAGAGCCGGCTGGGTACGGGACTTTCCTCACTCCAGGAAAAGGGATTTTGTAAAGAGCAATAACAGTTCACAGGGATGTCTGGTTCACTTCACCCAGAAGTGTTGCGTCTAATTTAAGTTCTAGCAGATGCCAGACTTGTTCGTGAAATGGTTGCTGGGGGTGGTGGGAGAATTTAAGAATGCACAGAATTCTGTAGCTCCAGGAGGCGAAGGTGTGACTTCTACAATACATTTGGCTTAAAAAACCTATTTTCTTTCTGTCCCCACTGACCCTCCAGTCCTGAATGTTTCCTTTTCGCTGTCCTAGTCTTCTCCATGCCCCGGTAAAAGAGTGGGCAGGAGGAGCAAGAAACTAAACCCCCAAGCCCCAGTCTGCCATCCTGGGGGAACTCCCCGCTTCCCACTCGCCGGGCTGCAGTTGGACCTGGTGTGCGAGGGCTCCGCGTGGTCAGCCAACGTTTACTTTGTTTCCCTGGGCCCTGCACTTACCACGTGGTTGGCTATAAAAGGTCAGCACGTTGGAGCACTGTCTCTGAAACAGCTGGACTCCATCCCTACCTCCACTTTTTTGAAAAAGATGTTCTTTATTTTTAGAGAGAAGGGAAGGGATGGAGAAAGGGAGGGAGAGGAACATCGATCGGTTGCCTCTCACTCAGTCACCAACGGGGACCAAACCTGAGACCCAGCATGTGTGCTGAAAGGGAAATGAACCGGTGACATTTTGCTTTGCAGACCGATGCCCAACCCACTGAGCCAGCTGCCCTGGCCAGGGCCTGCCTCCACCTCTTAGCAGTCGTGGGAACCTAAGCCAGCTCCATAGGTGCTTTCCACAGAGTGTCTTACTCTCCCTATCTGTAAAGTGGAAATGTTCATTTCACACTTACATGGCTGTTGAGATGATTAGATGAGCTCATACCCAAAAGTACTAAGCACAGGTCCCAGCACAGCGCTAGGTGTTTGGGCTGCTATTAGCTATTGTCACAGGTGCTCAGAAGGAAGTGTTCCTCTTGCCCTCCTCCTGGCCATCACTCCCCTCCTCTCCTCTCCCCTCCCTTCCCTCCCCTCCCCTCCCCTCCCCTCCCCTCCCCTCCCATCCCCTCTGCAGAACAGCTGAAGGTGGGAATGTCAGCAGTTTTCCCAAGTCATTTTCGGAGGAGTCCTGGAGACTTTTGTTCCTAGCTGGATTTTATTTAGAAACAAGATACAATCTCTGGAAATTATGATTAAATGAAAAGTGCCTTTAAACTTGGAGTCAGTTGGACTGGGATTCTGACCAGCTCTGCAGCTTGCTGACCACGTGATCTTGAGAAGCTGCTAGATGGCTGGGTCTCGGAGTGGAGTGTGTGGACTGTCAC